GCTGGGCCTTCAGGTAAGCAGGACACACCTGGCTCACAGGCAGCTCTGCCACTTCTAGTCTTGTTTTTGGTTTCCACACTTGACGCCACTGCATCACAAACACACGTGCGCTGCAGAGAAGTGGAGGGGGAGAAAACCAGGAAGAATAAACTGAAAATAACCCTTAATTCCACTGCTCAGAAATAATCACTAGTAGCTTTCTGGGTTCCCCTCCCCCACTGAAGTACCACGGATGCAGGGTTCAGGTAGGCGCGAGCGCCTCGGCACACCTGTGGCTGATGTCCACATCTACCCTCCAAGACCACTGCCCCTCCCCTGAACACTCACCACGTTTTTTAAGTATATATTCATACACCAAAAGAACAAAACTCAAGACATCACATCTGCTGCAGCAGCAGCTCAGTATTCAGTAGGTTACCATTAAACACAGAATCACAGAAACGTACTCATGTATCCAAATGCTGACATCATCACCTTAATAATGAAAACCCAAGAACAGATTCTCAGCAGGGCTTTCAGTAACAGTGCCCTCCTGACGATACTAATCTGCTTGTCCATTTCTGTATTTTCTTTGACTAGATCCTGCGGAGCGGACCAGCGATGTCACGCCAAAGCGCACACGTGTTCCGTGCGCACCTGCGAGGTATTTCTCCCAGAAAACCTTATGAACTCACCCCCTAGCCAAGTACTACTGACCTCATCTCCCCACACTTGCACCAGAAGCAGTTGATTTTCTACCTTATTCCCCAAATTTTAAAAACAGTGATCTCGCGGGTTTACTGATTTCTAGGAGCACTGTTAGAGAAGCTGAAAATTCTTTTCGTTTCATAAATGACCAGTTTGTCCACTTTTTTCCAGGAGGGCAGGGTGTCCTCTTTTTCATCTACAGGTCTTTTTTACTAGTCACCTGTTCATAACACGGAAAGTAAATCTGCATGTAAGTTACAGTATTTTTCTCAGTTTGCCACATGCCTTTTAATTCTGTTTCTGACATTTTAACATACACAAGCTTATTACTCTAAAGTAATCAAAAGATTTTCCCCATACCATGCCTACTTCTGGCACGAGGCTTACAAAGACTTTGTCTATCCTGAGACCATCTGTATTATCTTTTGGCTCTTAAAGTAAGAATATTTTCAAAGCATACAAGTTCACTCCCCTAAAATTACAACTACTTTTCACCACGGGAGTGTTTCACCAGTGCACACACACTTGAGGCACACACAGTTTAGGTGGCGGCACATTTCACACAATCTGTTTTCCAGAGTGTTTTCTGACACAGTGCTTAAAAAAATTGCATTTTGTTAGATGGGAACCGTTCTTAGTGGTTGTGTCGGCTTCTGCGGGCCCAGTGAGTCACAGTATCACCCCCGACCTGACAACAGTCTCCAAGTCCCAGAACTGTTCACTTCCAGCCATCGGCGCCCACCCTCTCCTTCAAGGCCCAGCAGTTACTAACAGACCAAGAGAATGAGCTCCTTCCTGGTGAGCCCACCGGCGTTTGCTGCGTGATGAACTCTGTTGTGATCATCAATGATCAGCCATCAATGCTCAGATCATCTCCATTTTGATCTCCTCCCCTTGGCCATCATCACATAAACGTGCAGGGAACTTGCGGTCCTTCTGTCCTAACTCCAGCTTCACCACTCAAAGGCACCGTTTCTCCCCCGACGCTGCTAACTGGGTAAAAAGCAGCACCTGCTGCTCCACGGGGCTTGGGAGAGAGCTCAATGGGAGGGCGTCCACGGGCCGAGGAGGCGTTAAGGCAGGTGGAGGGGAACATGCGCTGGGCTTCGGGCAGCGGCACCCCATGCCAGCCTGGTCCAGTCTGGGAGAAGGGCCAGGGCAGTGACCCAGGCAGGGCCTCCTGGCACTGCAGGGCGGGCGGGGGGAGGGGATGTCAGGTCAGGGCCTGAGCCGGCCCTTCAGTGACAGAAGCGCCCCAGTTCTCTAGGAAATGGGGAGAGGGAACAGCCTGGGGGGCCCTGAGAAGTGGCGCTGCATGGATGAGGACCTGGGGTGAGAAGCCAAGCGAGGGGGAGCGGCTCGCCTGGTCCAGTTCCCGAGGGAAATGTAAAGACTAATTTCAAATTTAGAGACATGTCTTCCTAACTCCGCTTGCAAACAAGGAGGAGATGGTGGTTTACAGGATGGTTTTTCAAATGCTGTTGATGTTAAAATCTATGCCAGTCCCATGGAATCCACACGTTTTGAGGACCCAGAGAATTTAAAACCCTGTCAATTAAAAACCACCTCATTTTACAGATGAGGAAATAGAAAATAGAGGCCCTGCAAAGTTCAACTGGGGCTAGATCTCACGTCTCCTCTCGCAAGGAAAATGCTCTCTGCTGCAGCAAAAATACATGAATAAATAAATACCATATACTCGGCCTCGTTTAGACTTAGAAAATCTCTCTTAAGTGAATATAAAATTTAAAAGCCATTAAGTGTCAGGGTAGCTCTGTGGTGTACATTATTAAATGCACGTTACAAACAGGGAGCTTAAAGTCCTTAGCAAGTGGATAAACTTAAGGGTTTTATCCAAATTTGACTTATTCATTTGCTGTTTGTTTCTCCGCCATGAAGCAGCTATCCAGAAAAGCAGGAGATGAAGCTAGAGCTGGTCACTAAAAAGGTACACGCTCTCTTCAGACACAGCGAAAAGACAAGTTCATAATTAAGCCAAGAGCCCTAAAGACATTTCATCCCAAACAGACTCCTGTGCTGAGGGGAGGGACCCCAGGAGGGCTGAAGAGCAAAGCGTCAGTACACAAACATGTTCCTGGGTTTTGGGGGCCCTGATTTTTAATGTGGAGAACAGAAAGGAGGAACTCCAATATAACTGTCCAGGCGGAAAGGCACCAGGCCAAGAGCAGACTCTGGGAGTCGTGACACCCAGGACCCGGCTGGGGGGCCCTCCTGGCTCCTATCAGGAAGAGCCTCAACAACACACACTGCTTCTTTTTTAAAAGCAAGGCTGCTGTATTATTTATTGGGGGGGGGGAGGGCGGAATAAGCAATCTGTTAAAAAAATAAGTAAAACTTGCACTTTAAAACTAGTTTTGAGGTTAAAAAAAAAGCTAAAGCTTCACAACTGTTTTCTTGGCACATTCCTGGATGGCCACAGCTAAGGGAAGCTTGGGCATCCATCTCGCCAGCGAGGCGCTCACCACGGAGGGGCTGGGCAGTGGTGCCCAGGGAGCCGCGTGCTCAACCAGCCGCCTGCAGCCACTGCGCTCTGCACCCTAAGTCGGAAGCGGTGGAACCCCTGGTGTGGCAGCGTTACTCCAGAATGTGGATCCACTCAAGCAGCAGCTGAACGTGCTACTCCAGGAGCGCAGAGTAAGGGCTGTCCCTGCCTGCAAGGAATTCGGCGGGCATGTGTGGGGCTCGAGGCTGCACCCACAGCACGATCTCCGGGCACTTCAGGGGGACGGGAAGGAGTCTGGGAACTGCAGGTGGGCTCAGGCATCCACACCCGCTGGCGGAGTGGGGTGCACGCACGCCGGGCCCCGAGCGCCTGCACTGACAAGGGAAAGACACCGCACGTGGTGAGAAATCCTGGTAGAGCTAAAACTTTTTTTTAAAACATTTGGCAAGATGGTTTTTAAAAGACACCAATGACAAAAAACCAAGCCTTTAAATACTCTGGAGGATCACCCAGCCGCCCTCCTCCAGCTCGCGGCCCTCTCGCTCCACCTCCAAACATGGGCAGAACAGAGGTGAGGAGCCGGCCGGGCCGGGCGCGCGCGTTTGGGAACTCGAGACGCAATTCCAAGTGCGAAGCGGCTCTTTCCACTCGCCCCGGGGAGCCACAGACTCAACTTCCAAGCAAAACTTTTCTCGGCTCCAAAACCTTCCTAAACAAAGGCAGCCTCGTGTCCAAGTACTTCTTCCCCAACAAAACGACTGGCTTTGCTTTCCCCACAGCATCCCCTGTTTTTGCCAGACAACCCAGCAAGTCCCCAGACGCCACACGAGCAGGTGGCGGGGGCCCGACCCGCGGCGCGCAGAGCGGGCAGAGGCCGGGCTCGGGGTCCGGCACCGGGTCCCCGGGTCCCCCGACGAGGGCCTTGCAGGGCGGCGTGACCCCGCGCCCCCGGCACCCCGGGAAGGGCCGCCGGACCCGGCCACGTTGAGCGCGACCCGGCCTCGCACGCTCACCCCGCGGTCCCCGCCGCCGCCGGGGAGCAGCCCGGGCTCCAATCGGAACCGGGAATCCGATTTCTGGCGGAGAGAAGAGCCTCAACTTCGGGGCCCCGTCCCCGGGAACCACCACCACGCGCTCGGCTCCCGGGCCGCCCCCTGGCCGGGTGGCCTGAGGCTCGGGGCGGCCGCGCCCCACACCGCGCGCCCGCGCCCCGGTTACCTGCGGGGTCAGCGCGCGCTCCCGCCGGGCGCAGGGCCGGGGGCGCGCCCGGGCAGGGCAGGCCCGGCCCGACCCGACCCGCGGGCGCCGGTCCGCCCGGCCGCCGCGCCGCACCCCGGCCCGCTCCCCGCCGCGGCGCCCCGGGCCCGCCGCGACCCCGTCCGGGCGCCCCGGCCGCCGCCACAATGCCGGGGCCGCCGGAAAGCGGGGGCCGGCGGCGCGGCCGCTCCCGCGCGCGAGCCCGGGCCGGGGAAGCGGCGGGAGGAGGCGCCGGGCCGCGGGGAGGCCGGGCCGGGCCGCGGGGGTCGCGGCTGGGCCCGCAGGCAGGGGCCGGGCCGGGCGGCCGGCGCCACCAGGCCGCGCGCCGGCCGCGATGAATCGGGCTTTTTCCCGGTGCGTAGTCCGGGCCTGGCCGCCCCGCGCCCGCCAGGCCCCGGCCCCCCGGCCGCCCCGCCCGCGCCCGCGAGCCCCGGCCCGGCCGCCATTCCGCCGGCGCGGCGCGGCTGCTCAGGCCTCGCCCGGCGCCGGGGCTCGGCCGCCGCGGCCCGTCACTGCGACACCGCGGCTCCGGCCGGGCCTGCTCCGCCCGCGCGCGCCCGCCCGGCCGCCCGGCCGCCCGCCCGGCGCTCACCGCATCGCCCGCGGCCCACAGGCTCGGCCACGTCGCCCCGGCCGCTGGGCCCGCGCCCCGAGAACGCCCGTCCCGCCAAGGTCTGGCTGCGTCCCTCCGCCGCCGCCGGGCCGCCCCGCCTGGAGCTGCGTGCGCCGCGGCTCCCGCCTCCGCCTCCGCCTCCCGGCCCGCCCGCCGCCGCCGGCCCGCCCCCGCCCCCGCCCGCGCCCGCGCCCGCGCCCGCCCGCCCGGCCTCACCGGCTCCGGCCGCCGCGGGGGCCGCGGGGGGCCGCGGGGGGCGGCGCGGCGGCAGGCCCGGGCGGGGGCGCCGGGGAACGGCCGCCGCCATGGCCCCCGGCCGCGGCCCGGGAGCGGGGGGCCCGGAAACTCGCCGCGGCCCGGCCCCGCGCCCCGGCCCCGCGCCCCGGCCCCGCTCGCGGGGGCTTCGCTACCTGAGCGCCCCCGGCCCGGCGCTCCGGGGCCGCCGCCGGGTTTTCCAGCCGCCCGGGCCGCGGGGCCGCCGCCGAGGAGCCGCTTCCCGCCACTTCGGGCCGCTCGGCGGGGTGGGGGCGGGGCGGGGGTCACCTTCCCAGGGGGCGGGGCGCCGGCCTCGGGGCGCGACCCTCGGCCCCCCGCCGCCGGGCGCCGCCGCTCCGCGCCCCACACCCGCGGCCCCCGGAACCGCCGCCCGACTCGGCGCGGAGCAGCGCGGCCGCCGCCCGACGGGCGGGGGGGCAGGCGGGGCCGGGGCGCGGGGGCCGGGGCGCGGGCGCGGGGGTCGGCGCCCCAGCCCCGGACACCTGCGGGCCGCGGCCGCCGCCCTCAGGGCCGTTCTAGAATGAGGCCGAGCGAGGCGCCCCGGCAAACTCCTCGCCAACTTTTTCCGGGGCAGGTGCTGACAGACGCCGGGGCCGTCGGGCCTGGCGAGGGCGCCGGGCGGACGGCGCGCGGGGCCCGGCGGCGCTTGTGGCCACGCGTGGCCTGAGGAGCTGAGCGCGTCCCTTTGAAATTCACTGTCACAGCTGGGTGCGGTGGGGGTGGGGAGCCTCAAAATACCACTTTTGCAGCAAAAAACTCGTCCCGGCGGGAGAAGCAGGCACGTGGCTGGGCACCCACACCAGCGGGCCGGGAGGGACTCACCTCAGCCGACCTGGGCGAAAGACGCGAGGAAAGTCATGGCTGTTGGCCCCAAACTCCGGCAATTCAGAGATTAGGGTGCCCCCTCGGAGGAGAAATCCTAGGTCCGGGACAGGGGCCCGGCCCAGAGCCCACCGAGGCCTGAGTAGGTCGGGTTTCTCTTAGAACAGGGCCGGGGACAGGTCTTTTCTCAAGCTGCCTGCTCGGTGGCTGTGGAAGTACTGCATTTGCCTCATCCCCAAAGTGAGGGATGCTTCAGTTTGTGGGAGGGCCTCAAAATAGACACTTCTTCTGAATAACCTCCTTAAAAGAAGACCTGGATGAATGTAACACCTTTGTGGGTGAGCTCGCAGGTGAAGACGAAGTGCTGTGCCTGTGGAACTGGTTGGCGTGTATTTTCATAGTTTTTTAAAGAAATTTATTTTCTTACATCGTTATTTTTTGTACATATCCTCACCCCCCTCAACCTGTCCTTTCCTTCAGATAACTCATCTGTGTCTTCTCTTTATTTTTTATTTATTTTGCGTAGAAAAACAGGTGTGGACCAGAGGTGTGTGGGGGGGGGGGTGAGAGGATTCCCCAGAGACAGAGTGGGGCGCAGAACAGGTGGACCTACTGAAATGCACTGCTGAGGGGAGGAGCAGGGAGACAGGAGAGGTCTGCTGCGCCATGTGGGTTTCTCCCTGGCGGGGGATCGAACTCAGGCCAGAGTGGAGATAGCTCTGAGGCTTAACCGCTAGGCCACTGTCTAATCTGCCTTTCCCATTTCATCTTCAGTGTGAAGATCTGGCCCGTGACTTCCCACAGCTCATGGGGCACGAAGTGTCTCCTTCCCCTTACTGTCTTCCCTCCCCCGCTCTGCTTTTCCTCCACGGAAGCATCCAGCCCACCTGACCACCCTCCACTCCTCACTGCCTCATCTTCTGGCTGTTCTTTCTTTCTCTCCCATCCACACGACCCTCTTTAGCAGTCAGAGGCCACCATCGGCTTTCACGTCCACTTCGTAATCGGCCTGCAGCCGCCGGGCCCTCCTCTTCCTTTCCTCCCACCGACCAGGTCAAGGCCAACTCTTGGGCTCTACCTTTCTCACCCACCTCAGCGAAATCCACATCCCTCGTTCAGATGACCCAGCATGTAGGGGGATCCTGAAGTTGATCAAAGTCAGTATCAAAATTCAGAGTAGACTCAGACTAGATGTAGGCCAGAGCCACGGACATGAAAAATGCCTTTACAAGTCTAGACACGATGTTGAAGTTCAGAAAGCCTAAGTTTAGCATCAGCTGACCGTGATTAGATCCAGACCCAAACTTTCTTTTGCTCTAGTGAAGTCAACTGTTTAATGGCGGTTCAAAAAAAAAAAAAAAAAGAACCTACTTCATAATGTTGTCGGGAACAGTGATTCCTCTGCAGTTCCAGCAGAATTCCTGAAATACTGTTAATTCCCTTCCTCTGCTCATTTTTCACCAAGGAAGGCCAACTGACACCCAGTTGCTATGGATAACATTGACATTTCCTCTTTCATACAGGCCTGAAAACCCACCAACCCACCTTATATCCTAGAGCTTGTCAACAGCCTAGAGAAATCCTTTGTCCATCTTGGCTCAGTCTGTGCAGGGCAAGCACTGCTATCACCAAACCTATTTTCCAATGAGAAAACCGAAGGCTTAGAGGTATTAGAGGATTTGCTCCAAATCACTCAACTTGGTTGGAGGCACGGCCTGGCCCAGTTCCTCCCGGGTCGCGTGTATCTGCTACGCTGTGACATATCCCTCACACTAGATGGTTCCTTTAATCTTCTAAATGGTTCTGGTTCTCATCTCCCGGGTCTGTCCTCTTGGTCTCCCCACAACCGATGCAGATGGTTCTTTCTAGACCGATACCTTCATCTCTGTATCTTCGCCCTTTCCAACCTGTCAGTGGCCCCCCACTGCCTAAAGGGTTCAGTCCAAATTGGGACCCAGCACTGAAGTCTACCATAATCTTGTCCTAATTTATCTCTCCAAATTTATTTCCAGTCACTTCCCAAAAGGAGTTCTCAGCTTTGTCCAACCCTGTTGGACCTACTCACTGGGCCAGCCTTGACAGCATTCACGAATGGCGGTCATTTCTTCCTTAACAGAAACAGCGCCCGCCTCCCTCCAGCTGCTGCTCACGCTGACTTTCAAGACCAGCTCATGTCCCCTCCCCGGAAGCCTGCCTTGCACCCTCTACATAGGCTTTTGCAATCTTTCCCTGATTGCCAGCATCTCACACGTGCCAGATGGTCTGAGCCTTGGGGTGAGGTGGAGTGGGGTGGGGCTCGGGGGACCCTCAGCTTTGTGCCCGAAGAACACATTTATTTACTAATCGAACGAGAGGGTATTATGTCCCTTGACTGGTCATATGAACTGTTATGTCTAAGACTTGAGTGAGGAACTAGTCACCCAGTGCAAAGTGAATTCATTTAATGGGGCGGTCCCCAAACCCGACTTTGCGTCAGAATCACCTGGGCTCTTAACAACGGGTGTCAGGGCCTGCTCCAGATCTGCTGAGTGGAAATTGGGTGGGAGGGGGCGGGGGGCGGGGGAATTGGAACTGCTGTGTGTTTAGATCCTGGTTTCACCACTTCTTATCTGGGTAGCTTTTAACAAGTTGCTTCACTTCTCTATGAAATGGTGGTGCTCATAGTATCTCCCCAGAGGTTGTTGTAAATTAAGTAGTTAATAAACATTGCCTTTGATGATGATGATGATGATGATGACGGTGATGATGATATAATTACCAATCTGATGATGTGAGTTTGGAAACCACTGATTTGATGAACCACCCTTTCCTTTGTTCAAGTTTCAAATGTTACAGCCCTAAAACTTCTTGTATTAAGCATTAGAACATATTACAAAAGCCCTATTTGTTTTGAAATAATGTATTTTAAGGAAGAGCAGCCAAATCATATTTTTCCATTTAATTTGTTAATTTCATCCAAGTCATGAAGTATACATTATTCGTGATTTTTTAAAATATTAGCTCCTCTTAGAAAAATAACTACCCATATCCTATCACGACATGGCATAATTAAATCAGCTTAGTATTTAAAGAAAGCAGGAAAGAGATGAAATAATATGATTTCTACCACTTAGGACAATGAGTCATAGCAGGTTTTTTAATCCTCTAATTCATTAGAAAAAAATTTATAGCTCATTTTGGTTCATCAAATGCCAAATAAACAATATTTTACTGATATTAAATGTAACTAGATATAAAATAGGAAGCAGAAATTGACTAACCAAAGTCACTGTGTCTGAAGGGGGACAGGATTGGATGCCCTCACCTGTCAACCCTTCGCTTATAAATGGCCCTATGGAAAGATACACAGAGGCTTGCTTTCCTTGCCTGGAACCCCACCAAACATTCCTGCAGTCCTCTCTGACGGACTCAAGTAGCGCTGGGTGGGTAACAGTCAATCACACGGGAGCATTAGCTAGTTCAGTCACGATGCCTTCCTTCTTGCACAGGTTACTAGCAACTAAGAAAGGCAAGTTTTGGATAAATGAAATTTGAGAGAAACACTGAGGACCGCGTATCTCCTGAAGGCCTCGAGGGCAGAGGTTCTGGGGAGAAGAGTCTTAAGGAATAGAAGGAGATGGAAGGACTTATAAACCCAACTGCCCAATTTCTGTTTTGCATATTTAGAGGCCTAGCCCTCTTGCACTGACATCCATAAGTCAGAAATACTGTTGTAAGAGGCATGAATTAACTAAGTTTTTGAGGCCTGAGCTGCGGACCTGAACACTGTCATGACATTTGATTAGGTTGAACCATATGAAATTGCAATTCGTTTTCAAAGTATTCAGCTGATTTCTATAAGGAAGTTATTCAGCGTTCCAGAAAACTGTCCTAAAATCACTTCTAGAAGTATCTACGCTCTAAACCTCAACCCAGTCCCTGCCCACATGTGAACTAGA